TTCTCTGTCCTGCTGATAATAGAATGCCCCAGAGCTTAATCTTTGGTCGCTTTCTTTTCCACGTTCACCCTGTTTCATGGCTTTAAATATCACCTATATGCCGACAACTCTCACTTGATTATCTCCAGCCCCAATCTTTTTCGTGTCTTACTGCTCACTAGGCATCCCAAACCCAATGCATCCAAACTAAGCCCCCCACACTCCCCCGCAAACCCCACTCCACCTACAGTCTTCCCCATTTCAGCTCAGGGCAACTACACGGTTCCAGTCCCTCAGTCCAAAAGCTTCCGTGTCACCCATGATGTTGATGCCTGTCTTCCTCCCACATACCACATCTGGCTGTCGGGAAGCCTTGCTGAAATCTTCCAAGCGTATTCAGAATCGGAACACGTCTCACTGCCTCCACTGCTTACTACCCTGATTCAAGTCATAATCATCCTTGGCCTCGTCCAGCGGTTCCCAAACTTTGCTGCATTTTGAAATCACCCAAGGATCTTAAAAAATACTAATGCCTGGCTGCCACCCCCTTGAGATTTTGACTTAATTGGTTTGGGATGTGACCTGGGCACCAGGATTTTTCACTTCTCTCCAGGTGATTCTCATGTGCATCAAAGTTTGGGAATCCCTGGCATAGGTATGATAACAGCCACCTAACTGATCTCCCTACTTCTATCCTTCCTCCCTACAGTCCATTCTCAACACAGCAAATAGAGGCACTTTAAAATTATAAATCAGATTATATCTCTGCTAAAAACTCTCCAGTGGCTCCTCATGTGCCGAGTAAAAGGCAAAGGCTTTACACTGGCCTACAAGGTCTTAACATGAGCTGCAGTGTCCCCCATTGCACCCCATCACTTCTCTGACCTCTATTACACTTCCCCTGGTTCACTGCTCAACTGACAGCGGCCTCCTTACTTTCCTTGAATACACCAGGCATCCCCTCTCCCTAGGACCGTTGCTCTAAGTGTTCCCTCTGTCTGAAATCCTCTTTCCCCCAGATATCTGCATATCAAACATTAGCTCAAATATCACATTTCCAATTCTAAGTTAAAATCTACAAATGTACTACCCATCTCTTTCTCTTGTGTGAGGTAAAAGAGTGACGAGGTAGAGGATGGTGTCTTCATTTTAAGGAAGATTGGGGAGAGAACAGAACTGAAGTAAAAGCAGAGTTCCTTTTGGGACATGTTAAGTTTCCGATACATATCAGACATGCAGATCTAACAAGATGTCAAATAGGGAGGAAGTTGGAGTTGGACTATAAAAATGGGAGCAGACAGATGGTGTTTAAAAGCTCTGGTACTCTGGGGATCACGTTGGGGAAGACAAGGCTGAGAAGTGACCCCTCTGGTACACCAATATTTTGAGATGATATACAGCAGGATTGAGAAAAAGCAGAAGAAAAACTCAGTGTGGAGGGTCCTATCATAAAAGACTTCCTAAGTAGCTAACTTACGTCACTTGGTACTAGGATGACAATAAGAACACATAAATGCTACGAATTTGTCCTGCTGGGCAGTCACAAAAGACCAGGACAGTTTCAGTGTCATGGTGAGGTCAAAGACTTGGAGGTACCTCAGTTCTAGTGGAAAGTAAGGAACTGGAAACAGCACAGATTCCTGTCTTTGTTAACGAGCGGCGTTCTTAATTTCTGGTCCATGAACAAAGCAGATCATGGATGAGTTTCAGGAAAACATGATTCCAAGTCCTGCCTGCAAACACTACAAAACTTTGTGCGTGTGTGCGTTTTTCTGGAGAGACCTCCAGAGCTTTCATGATGGTTATTTTTAACGCGCCATTCATCTGAGACCAGGGCGATCCACTGGCGTCAGAGCCTGAACCTCAGATCGTTACTTGATTCCTGCATGGTGTCTTCCAGGCTGAATCTAGTTTCCCGCGATCCCCACTCACGTTCCCGCCCAGCCACCCTGGACGCAACGCACCCTGGGCTCCTCCACCTTTATTTAGAGACCACCCACATCCACCCTCTTATCTAGGTTTCCTGGCGCAGCCTCTGTCCATAAGCTCTGTCCTGTCGCTGTGCTGCCCAGATCGCGGTTTCTAATGCCCAAGCTGCCCTTAGGGGACCCTACAGCCCTCAGACCCCAGCCTGCTTCGCCCGGGCCGCAGCTTTGCCCCGCCTCCTTGAGCTCTGCGAGCAGCTGCAGGGAAGCTGGGCGGACCCTTGCGCGCGCTGTCTTCTGGGAACGGCTTTACGATATATTGATCGTCATTTTACGGCAGGACAGGGTTGCTTTGTGGCTGTCAGTTTTCCCAGAGGTCCGAGTGGGTAGCGCTACCTTGTCTGGGGTGGCGGCTGCTACGACAGCGGAGAGATGAGGCAGAAGCGGAAAGGTGCGAAAGGGAGGGGGAACGGGGCGGTGGTAGGGAAGGGGCGAACCCTGGGCCCTCAGATGCTGAAGCCAGTTTTTCCCGCGGGAATCCGCTACCTCATCCAGTCTCCCCAGCCACCTGTGGTCCGTCTGTGGCCTCCAGCCCCCTGCTTTCTCCTTTCACCTGTTGTGTTTTTTGAACCAACTTATCCTTACTCTTCCTTTTTAGCAGTCTTTTGCATAAAGGACAAAAGCTCTAGTCCAAGGTATGCCCTCCAAGAAGTTAACGTTGTCGGTGGATTTAACACGTTCTCGGACTCTTAATTTGCTAAGATTCGTTTTACGACACATTTCACGTGCTTTTTTATCTGAGATTGTTTTAAAGCTCAAAGTTAAAAAAAAAGAAAGAAAACCACTGAATTATTCTTGGATTCTGTGGGGGCAGTTAGGCAGCCATTCCCATTTGTATTACCTCCTGAGTTAGCGTGGAGCAATTCCACCTTTAGTTTTTCAGCCGAATGGAGTCAAATTTCAAGTATTTTCTCACAGGTGCTAGTGTTATCTCTGTAAGCTCAATTGAGCAGTCGGTCTAACAGTGATGGTTATGATAACTATGGCTGCCATCTATCTGTTGAGCCTTTGCTAATAATTCTTAGGCTGATATCGTCGCCTTTTCACAAATGAAGAAGCCGAGATTAAAAGAGTTCAGTAACTTTCCTAGCCCAGAACTGGTTTGTCAGGCTGTCTCTATGAACCCCAAAAACATAAAATTTAAAAAAAAAAAATCTGTTCCTTAATCTCTGTGCCTCTTGGCATCAACTGCTCCAAGTGTCCAAGTTACCTTCAGTTGTTCTGTGGCATCAAATTCTACATGCCCCTAATTGATTAGTCGTCTTCTCCCTCTAACTTGCTCCTCCATCTCCAGCTTTAAACTTTTGACTTCATTTATCACCAAGTCCTGTTAGTTCTTATAGAAATTGCTTCTTGAAATAGTTTATTCCTCATCATTCTAGCCACCAGCCCCTTAATCCACCTTCATTAAGAACTGATATTTGAATAATACTTTGGCTTTCATATATACATTATTTTTGTTGATTCTTACTGAATCTTGTGAAAGATCTGTATGGATTATCCTAATTCTGCAGACAAGGAAATGGGAGCTCAGAAGCCATTCATTCTCCCATTATCACACAGCCAGTAGGGTTTGGAAGCTAGGGACTGAGTCTGTCATCCAAGTTTTTTACTGTAAATCTGTTTCGTTTTGTTTTTTAACAATGGTGCCTTTCAAGAGCCTTTTACTTAGTATCCAGAGGATGTGTATTCTTTTCATCTTCTGAATCATTTTTTTGTATCCTTTAGTATATTTTATATACAGTTGACCCTTGAACAATGGAGGGGGGTGGTCGGGGGCACTGACCCCTGCACAGTTGAAATTCTGAGTGTTGCTATCTCTGCCTGAAAAACAAAGGAATTGATAAATGACTCACCAAAGGGCAGGAAGCTGAAACAGTTTGGATAGAATCAGGACTCAGATCCTCAAACACAAACTTTTCCCCACAGTTAATTTAAGGATCTGTAAAATAAAAATACAGGTACTGTATTTATTTGAAAAACATCTGCATATAAGTAGACTTGTGCAGTTCAAGCCAGTGTTCAAGGATCAATCTACTTATTTTCTTTCAACACTACTTTCATCTTTTTACTCCCAAACTTGAGAACATATAATTCTCCACTGTGTATTGCATCCTATTTAAATGCCTTTGCCTTGTAGCCAGTAATCTGTTCTTACTGAACCCTGTCAAAAAGCCTCTATTCTAGTTAGACAGTACTCCTGCACATAAAGATGACAGGTAATTCCTATACCTAACATAGTTACTTCTGGATTGCCCTCTGTTTTGCTTGTCCAGATCCTGCCCTTTAAAGATCCCTGTGTGATTTCCTCCACGAAGCCTTTTCTTACTAATTTACTTCTCTGGTTAATTCTTGATATACTCAAGGGCTATACAAGTGTTTTAAAAATCTTTATCTTCGTTTTATTGCACCTAGCTTTAGTGCGCTTCGCAGATACTGTGTTTTTTTTTTACAAATTGGAGGTTTGTAGCAACCTGTTTGAGCAAGTCTATCAGCTCCATTTTTCCAACAGCATTTTTGCTCACTTCATGTCTCTGTCACATTTTGGTAATCCCGGCAATATTTCAAACTTTTTCATTATTGTTATGTTTGCTATGGTGATCAGTGATCTTTGATGTTACTCTTGTAATTGTTTTGGGGCCCCACAAATTGCCACATAAGACGATGAACTTAATTGATAAACGTTGTGTGTGTTCTGACTGCTCTACCTGTTGACCATTTCCCCATCTCTCTCCCTCCCCTCAGACCTCCCTATTAAGACACAGTGATATTGAAGTGAGGCCAGTTAGTAACCCTACAGTGGCTTCTAAGGGTTCAAGTAAAAGGAACAGTCATACATCTCTCACTTTAAATCAATAGCTAGAAATGATTAAGCTTAGTGAGGAAGGCATGTCGAAAACTGAGGTAGGCTAAATGCTAGGCCTCTTACACCAAACAGTTAGCCAAGTTGTGAACCAAAGTTCTTGAAGGAAATTGAAGATTATACTGTATTGGACACGTGAATGATAAGAAAGCAAAACAGCCTTATTGCTGATATGGAGAAGGTTTTAGCAACCTGCATAGAAGATCAACCAGCCACAACATTTCCTTAAGCCAGAGCCTAATCCAGAACAAAGCCCTAACTCTCTTTAATTCTTTGAAGGCTGAGAGAGTTGAGGAAGCTGCAGAAGAAAAGTTTGAAGCTAGCAGGGGTCGGTTCATGATGTTTAAGGAAAGAAGCCATCTCCATAGCATAAAAATGCAAGGCAAAGCCCTAGGTGCTGATGGAGAAGCTGCAGCAAGTTATCCAGAAGGTCTAGCTAAGATAATTAGTGAAGGTGGCTGCACTAAACAACAGATTTTCAATGTAGACAAAACAGCCTTATATTGGAAGAAGATGCCGTATAGGACTTTCATAATTAGAGAGAAGTCAGTGCCTGGCTTCAAAGCCTCAGAGGACAGGCTGACTCTCTTGTTAGGGGCTAATGCAGCTGGTGACTTTTAAGTTGAAGCCAGTGTTCCTTTACCATTCTGAATTATGCTAAATCTACTCTGCCTGTGCTCTCTAAATGGAACAAAGCCTGGATGGCAGCCCATCTGTTTCCAACATGGTTTACTGAATATTTTAACCCACTGTTGAGAGCAGATTGCTTTCAAAATATTACTGCTCATTGTTAGTGTACCTAGTCACCCAAGAGCTCTGATGGAGATGTACAAGATTAACGTTGTTTTCATGCCTGCTGACACAACATCCATTGTGCAGCCTGATCAAGGAGTCATTTCGACTCTCAAGTCTTATTATTTAAGAAATAACATTTCGTAAGGCTATAGCTGCCATAGATAGTGATTCCTCTGATGGACCTGGGCAAAGTCAATTGAAAACCTACTTGGAAAGGATTCACCATTCTAGATGCCATTAAGAACATTCGTGATTCATGGGAAGAGGTCAAAATATCAACATTAATAGAAGTTTAAAAGAAGTTGATTCCAGCCCTCATGGATGACTTGGAGGGCTTTAAGACTTGAGTGGAGGAAGTAGCTGCAGATGTGGTGGAAATAGGAGAACTGGAATTGAAAGTGGAGCCTGAAGGTGGGACTGAATTGCCACAATCTCACGATGAAACGAATGGATGAGGAGTTGCTTCTTACGGATGAGCAAAGAAAGTGGTTTTTTGAGATGGAATCTACTCCTGGTGAAGATGCTGTGAAGATTGTTGAAACTATAATAAAAAATATAGACTATTAGGTTAAACCTAGTTGATACAGCAGCAGTAGGGTTTGAGAGGATTGACTCCAGTTTTGAAAGTTCTGTGGGTACAATGCTGTCAATCAGCATTGCCTGCTACAGAGAAATCGTTCGTGAAAGGAAGAGGCAATGGATGAGGCACACTTCACGGTGGTCTTATTTTAAGAAATCGCCACGGCCACCCAGCCTTCAGCAGCCACCACCCTGATCAGTTTGGTAGCTAACCTCGAGGCAGGACCCTCCACCAGCAAAAGGATTATGATTTGCTGAAGGCTCGGATGATGGTTAGCGTTGTTTAGCAATAAGGTATTTTTAAATTAAGGTATTTTTTTAAGGCATAATGCTCTTGCACACTTAACAGACTGCAGTACAGTGTAAACATAGCTTTTATATGCACTGGGAAACCAAAAAAATTCGTGTGACTTGCTTTATTGCAGTATTTGATTTATTGTGATGGTCTGGAACCGAACCTGCAGTATCTCTGAGGTCTGCCTGTATTTTTATCACCTGAATCACCTTTTCTCCAAATTCTTATGCAGAACTTCAGTATATAAACAGATGAAAGCCGAGCGGCTTTGGTTGAAATGAAGAAAGAGACCCTCCCTCTCCCTCCCTTCCACCTTTACCTTAATCACCACCAGCCCGACCTGTTACATGGCCCCTCAGGCACCATTGTAGAACTCTGAAGGGCTGAGTTACATGGTTTAGAAAGCACTTAGCCTTTGACTATAGATGGACTTCTTTTTCTCTCAGATTGTTTTTTATGTGTTAGCTTTTCCTCATTAAATTAGACGTGGCTTGGTACAGTGGTTAAAAGCATGTAAGTTGCGGAGAAAAGACCTGAATTTGAGTCTTAACTATGCCATTTACAATTATGTCTTAACTAGCCTTAATTTTTCACATCTGTGAAATGTGGTAACAATACCTACCTTCCAGTGTTGTGAGGTTTCAAATGAGATAAATGAGAGGGCTCCATGATCGCCAGGGCTTTCTCATCTGTGTTTCTCTCTGATGATGACATTATCTTTGCACACCAGCTTTCTCTGCAGGCAGGAGGCAGGCTTGCTAGTAGCTCCCAAGCTGAAATCTCACAACTTTTTATCACTGGAGAGGGACTGGTGTCTTTTGCCTTGAGAAAAAGAGCTCAGATTTGCCCGACCTGGATAGGTGCCCGACCTGGATAGGTGCCCATCCTTGAACCAGTCACCTTTAATTGGGGGGATGGGGTCATGAAAGAACATGTCAGCTTCTGCTGTTGCCTTTTACAGGAGAAGGGCGGCCTCAGTTGCCAGGAGCATGTTGCAGTGGCGGACAGACTATATTTTACAGATGTGTTAAGATCCCTAGGCACGCACAGACCCATGTCTTTGTATTTCAAAATAGTACTACATTGCTTTGTATTTCAAAATAGTATTAACGTTACTTTTGCGGATACCTGGGTTTGAGTTTCAACTTCACCCCTTGGTAGCATTTTTACGGGACAGGCAAATATTCTTGTTCCGTCTACCTCACTGTGTTCTGAGAATCAGATGAGATAATGCATCTAAATGTAATTACCAATCTGGAGATAAAGGGAAGCTACTTTAACTACTTTGGTCCTTTACTGTGTGATTAGGTTCTTTTTCCTCATGTTCGTCCTCCTCCTCATGTTCGTCTCTACTCTTTCCTTCATGTATCATTCTTGAGGTGTGTATGCTTCTAAAGTGAACTCTTCCCATATATAGGTGAAGCCAGGTTGGTTTTAAAATTAAAGATATAAAATATATGATCAAATTGTAAACAATAGTGTCTTGTGTACTTGAGCTATCATTTTGACATGATTGGAATGATTTTGGAAGACAAACTCCTAATAAATACAAAAACCTTTACTGAATAATATGATTTCTTTAGTGTCAAATATTATCTTTTCAGGAGATCTCAGCCCTGCTGAGCTGATGATGCTGACCATAGGAGATGTTATTAAACAACTAATTGAAGCCCACGAGCAGGGGAAAGACATCCATCTAAATAAGTAAGTGGATCTATAAAAAAGAAGGTAATCTTGTTCTTGGGTAGTAGATCTCTTTTATGAAATTATCAAATACTACTGGTTCTATCTCATGTTTCATGTTTTAGTTGAGAATTTAGCTTTCTGCCCTGCCCTATCGATTATTTATGGCAAAATTGCCTTATAGCCTTATAATACTAATAGTTTCTAACATTCCTTGGGCGCTTACGGTATTCCAGTCACTGATAGTAGTACGTTATATGTATTGGCTCAGCTGATCCTCTCAGACACTATATGAGGTAGGTATTTACCTCATTTGACAGATGGGTCCTCTTAGACAGAGAAAGGTTAAATAATTTGTTCAGGAGTAAATAACTGGTGATTGGCAGAGCCGGGATTTAGAATCAGGTCATCCGTCTCCAGAGCCCAGGCGCTGCCCTTCTGTGCCATCTCACTTCACATCCTTCCTCTCTTTCCGCTCGTCTCAGAGAGGTGGTAGCTCTCTTCCAGGGAAGCCCTCTCTTTGGGCCCTTTGATCGAATCCAGCCTTTCCCT